GAACTCGTGTGGTACAAGGAGCATGTCCAGAAGCTCCAGCGCCGCGTCGACAAGTCCAAGCTCGAAACACTGTACTGGAGTCATTCTTTGTCTCAACTCCGTTCATGAATTTGGATTGTAGCGTCATTCAAATGGAAAGTGAACACCACCGCGCGCACGTTCGCATCAACGACGTACGTATCGTTTGATGCTTGTCAACGATGTAGTAGACAATAATCTGTCCACGTAGATGGAGTGCATCTATATTGACATGCAAGAACAGCGGCTAAAGATGTCGCCGCGGGCGATTACAGACGGCTGGCTGTACGAGATGGAAGCGAAAATCAAGGCGCAGCGGGCGAAGATCACGGCCGCCAAGCTCGACGCTGTCTTTGGCCACGGCCTGCAATTCCGTGCCAACGTCGCCAAGCTACAGACCCTGCGGCGGCAGCGCGACGACGCAATCGCGCGCCGGGACGAAGTACCCTACCCCCATCAATCCACTCCGCAAAATGCGAGCAAATGCCTGATTAGATTGAGCGCTGGCGCGTCGAAGAGTACCTCGACTATTGGGAGGTACATATTTCTTTTTCTTGTACAGAAATGGCATGTTGTTGATTGTAGCGAGATATGCATCACATGGCGATCCTGCGCGCGCGGCAGCGGCAGCAGAATATTGCCGACGAGCGCCGCAAATGGCACGTCAAGCCGTGCACAAAGGAAGGCAAAGTTCGACTGCACGCGATCGCTCGAGAGAGCACGGTATTTTGCATCGGCAGTTCGAACTTGCTCGCTTTTTCCAAGGAATTTCAAGCAAACAAGAGCGCTGTGACGGCGCTGACCGAGCAAGTCGCGCTCGTGTCGTCAACGGCGCAGCTGGAGCAAGCACAGACGATGTTGATGCCGCTTCTGGATACGTTTACAAAAACGTACAACGGCGTGCACCAAGCCTTGCAACACGGTCCCCCCGCCCCCGCACGCTATGGCGAGCGAGAGGTCGACCAGCGTCGATCCGCCGCCAGCGACAGATATTGTGCTGAAGAAGACGAAGAAGACGAAGAAGAAGAAGAAAGTCGAGACATCGGGGCAGCAGCGCCGGACACGAGATGCGCACGTTCCGTGGTCGCTCCTCGATCAGCTCGCGGCGGAGAAGACCAAGCTACAGACCGAGAAAGCTCTCGGTGCCGTATTTAAGCGTCGAAAACCAATCGGCGACAACTAAAACTGTATTGGATGACCCTTTCTGCCAGGTCGCAAAAGATCGCGATTTGTCAGTTGGTGATGGGTAACGAGAGAGTTGGCGCTGGAGAGAAGCAAGGTACGGCGGCGTCTCTGTCGTGTTGCCTCTGCGTGCGTGTCGTGGTCCATTCGAACCCTTGGACAAAAGCGATGTTGATGATGAGTTTCATTTTTTGTCGCAGAAGAAACTGAGCTTACGTATCACTTAAAACAAGGACCGTCTCGCTGGAAAAGAAGCGCGTCATGCGTCCAAAGCTCGTCATAACCAGAGACCGTGGAGCGACGGCTGTCAGCATGGCGAGGAGAAACCCGCCAGCACAGCCAACAGCGTGCTCGTCACAGCTCATGTTTGGCCCCCAGATTATAAAATAGCACATGCTTGTCCATTGCCACTTGACGGCTGCGAGGACGATGGAGATGCTGTCATCCATTGCATTGGCGACCGCAGCGACGTATAGGCCGCCAAGCATTACGCCGACGACGGAGCGCGCGATCAGCAGATACGCCCACGTCATCAGCAGCGCCGACGGCGAGTCCACTTCAATCATGCGCACGACGAAGCGAGGGTGGTCCTCGCAGCTCGAGTAGTGCCGACGACTCAGGTCGTACGTGCCAGCAATGCACTGCGACCGCCGCGCAAACTGGTTGTGAAGCCAGACGTCGGCGATGAGCAATGGCCGCGTACACGCATACAAGACTCGCCACGGGTACCAATACGGAGCAGATTGCTGCGTGAATAGGCTCAGAAGGCTGGAAAGCACGGCGTACGGCACAAGACAGGCGGCGAGAAGAACGACGAGGACAGCAGCGAGGTATGCAACGAGCGTCAAGAGAACGTACGCTGAGGAGTAGAGAAGCGTGGCGTAGGTGAGCCACTGGAACGGCCAAATGAAGAGGTCTCGGAGCAGCAAGCGACCGGCGTTGGTGCCGTCATGGCGTCGGGCCTGCGGGTCGATCGCGAGCAGCGGTTGCCTTGGTCGCATCGGCAAATTGGCGTTTGAAACGCGTGGTACGTATGCGGATGCACGCTGCCGATTGGCCGCCTTTCAAACGACGGGAAATGATAAAATTCAACAAACGTTCAAGGAAGGACAAACGCTTGCGTACGACCTCGAGCGAGTTATCATCGGCGAGTGGCCGCCACGGAATGGATCCTGGAATCGATCTCTCTGCACTAGTACGCAGCTTACTCTAAACAACCAGAACTTCAACACATTAGTGGTACGTCTGAATCAGACGTACCACTAATGTGTTGTAGTGCGACGCATGCCAAGTCGTTGCCAGAGTCGTTGCGTTCATTTTTACAAACGCGTTTGATAGATAGTTCAACAAATTTAAAATTTACAAACTGTAGAGGATGTATTACACGCAGTCCTTGTCGACGGTCTCGAGCAGTGAGACCTACGGCGAAGGTAGGGGCACAAGCGTAACCTGCCCCAGGTAGGCACCGCCATCCGTGTCTGGATACGGCATGGCGTAAAACGATACGAATGGAAAGAGCTCGGTTGTCGGCGGCAGCACAAAGTCGATGCTTGCACTGTCGACACGCTCGCCGTCGACGTCAAATGTGATCTTTTGCGTGTCTCGGTCGTACTGGACGACGACGATGCTTCCATTGCGCGCTGATATCAAGCGCTCGGTATGTGTCCCATGAAAATGCTCGAAGAACGCTCCGCTTGAGTATTCGCCAGAGATGCCCACGGCATGGACGTTGGACGGTGCCGTGAGCGCAAACGCGCCTTGTGGCGTCAACCCGATCGAGATACCGCACATAACAAAGTCCATGTGCACCGCAAATCGGTCGCTTGGCACCAACGCGAGCACCGAGCGCTGGTGCGTACGCATCGTGACGGCGACCGTCTGGCAGTAGTTAGTGTGCACTAGCTGCATGTTGGCGTCGGTGGGTGCCCACATGCGATCGATCGGCACGGGCAGCGGCAGCTGGAGGAACTCTAGCTGGCGCGAGACGTGGACGATCTCGTGCGGCGCGAGGTTTGCGAGCAGCGGCGCGTCGCAGCGCAAGTGGTTCAAAATGTGCTCAAAGTACGTTGGGTCCAAGTCCAGAAAGTATGCGCCGTCAACGTCCGGGTCGCGACGCAGAAGCTCCTCCAAGTAGCTGTCTTGGACCTTGGTAAGTGTTGCTTCCGACGTGCAAAAGATGCGGCCACCAACGTTGAGCCGGAGTAGCATCAGCGTTGTTATTGTTGGTGGTGGTTCGTGTTGGGAAATGCGGTTATGAACTCACCTTAAGAACCTGCTTAAGAATGACGGTGCTGTTGATTGTGACTTCATGTTTCTGCACATGTTTGGCCGACATAGGGTTTGATTGGCTACTGGATCCCAAGGGCATAAAACATAATAAGACAGGTTTTATTCCCTTGCTGGATCTCAACCGCTCTCTATGGCGAGTGTGATGTCATGAGCTGTCTTTGCGACCAAAATGCCAAATTGTCGTCTAAGATGCCCGTGGCACACTCCCGATAGTTCGCATGAGCAGCAAATTCCTCCGCGTCGTTGCGAGAGCCCATGGTCCAAAACGATTGACATGCATTCCCACGAAAACACTCACTCTTTCGGAAAGGCAGGTTTGACACGCAACGGCAATGTCGGCAAGCAGCGTATTTCTTGGATCACGGGACCTTGTCGCCACGATCGCTGCGCACCAGAGTGGACTACCCGAAGCGTTTGCTGATATGACGCGCATCGCAAACGCCATCGAGCTTGCTGGCTACGGGGATATATCTGCATTAATACCTCGTCGACGTCCAGACGCGGTTGTCGACAGGGACGTA